ATAGATAGGAAATTGCAAACATTTCTCACAGAACGCTCCAAGTTAAAATTTCGCTTCCAAATCCCATTTATGGACTGCCTGCTGCGAGCGTGCAAAATGATTGACAGGATAAAAGCCACTTCTGATTGGTTAATCTGACTGGCCCGCGTCCACTTTTTCATTGTTTAGAGAGGTAAGGGTGGTCTTAGTGTGATATTTCAATGATACCTTTCAAGAAGTACAATTCTTTTTTGCATACTATTTATTAAAATTTGCTTACATCATGTTTAATTAAGTGAGACTTGGATTAATACCTTCTGTGTTCAAAGAAGCATTAATTTAGTGGATTAACTGCCTTTACTGTAGTTGAAATTGGCCTTTAAAGGGGTCCTATTATGCTCTTTGACAAAGTCTTGATTTTGTTTTGGGGGGTGTACTAGAACAGGCTCTCATACTAGATTGTTCGAAAAACACATTATTTTTCACATATTTTACATTATTACAACACCTCTATCCCCAGTCTGGCACGAACGGCTTGAATAGTTCCTGTATCAAATGAAGGCCCGCCTTCTGAAATACGGAATGTGCTGTGATTGGTTAGCTGGGCCAGTGTGTGTTGTGATTGGCAGCACTCGGCGCCTGGTCGGGAAATGTCACACCCTTACCATAGCTGCCTGCGAGCTTCAGTGTAAATATTGTGTCAAAATCAAATCAATTTGAGCGCGATTTAAACCCGGATGATTGGAACCACTCTAAGTTCGTCTGCCTTGGGAAAGCTAGCGAGTCTCAGACATAGTGATAACACTCGTTGCCTTCTCTAGTGCAGCTCAACCAGGTCTCGTCCCATTGGTCAATATTTGTGATATCACAAATTCCAGAAAATATGCGTTGTAGTCCAAACGAGTCGGTCGTTGTAGTTTTTGAAAAGTGATTTCTGTTAAATAAAATATCTCCTTTTGAAGTGGACTTTGAGCTTTGTAACTTTGCAGATCTTTTTTATGCTCAAACAGCAACATTACAGAATAACTAAAGTTGAAAAAGTGAAAAAGCATAATAGGACCCCTTTAATTAACTTTGCTGCTATTGGTTAAAACATCATAGGATTGCTGATCAGAGTATTGATTATTGATGGTTCTGTAGCATATCTACTAAACCTATCAGACTGATGGGCCTAATATTAGAATGAGAACATATATCCCCCTAATAGTATAGGGCCAAAGAAGCAGATGGAGCTCATTGTATCATTAGAGTCACAAAACCTGATGAAATTATGAATTATAGACCTCCTCGGGATAGACAAGCCCAGGCATGGACGTGTATTTGGTAAAAATGACTCTGCTGGCAGCGGACCAGATCATTTAAAATGTGGTTTTAGGATCAGCATTAAGGCCCTCGGTCTAAAGCCAAGCGAATTCTAAAGCGATCATACCTCAAAAAGTGGCCGTCCCAAGAGATTGTGTCTGAAAAAGCTTTTTAGCAGCGATCATTGCTTTGGGTCGTTATAACCAATATACAGACTTACAGAGAGAATTTAGAAAGATTCCCTACGGCCCAAACCTTGAAATGAAACTTCAAAACTAATGAAGCCTATCCAAGGATAAACCCAACCTGTAAACAACTTCAGCTTTAAGGCAGCAAAATTGCACTCTAACAGTCTATTGTGGATTTTATGTGCTGAGCAACACCATCATCAGCTGGACTAAACACTCGGTCTATATCTATCTATCTATCTATCTATCTATCTATCTATCTATTTTTTTTAATCACTGCCTATCTTTATATCTGATTTTTATCTATCTATCATGTTTTTAATCAGTCTATCTATATATTTTAATCTATCTCTGTTCTAATCTAGGATTTTTAATCTATCTAGTTTTAATCACTATCAATCTTTATATCTGATTTCAATCTATCTCTCTTTTCTAATCTATTATTTTTAATCTATCTAGTTTTTAATCAGTCTATCTTTATATCTGATTTTAATCTATCTTTATATCTATCTGTGACTTTGTCTATCTATGGATTTCTCTGTATATTCAATGTGTAACATTTTCATCCAGGTAACTGTCTGGAGTTTCTTTTACTGTCCAGAGATCGGTCAAGAGAATATACTGCTTTGATATTTTCCACATTGTGCAGATGGTTATGATTATGTATCTCAGGTTCTCAGTGATATATAATTTGCAGCACTTGGTTGTCTTATTGACAGTTTAAACAAAATATGACCGACATGATTTATTCATCTCAGTGCTGCAAGATGTTTGCCGCATTGCTACCCAAGACTGACTGTTTATGCTCCCTGTGATGATCGTTTTGCAGGAGGGTTTGTCTCCATGGTAATTGCATTAAATCACAATAGAACTGCAGGGAAATATCCGTTTACACATTCATACAGACTGTCAATTTGAGGGTTTTGTAGACAATATAATACATTCATCTGTGTCTGGTAAAAACACGCTGTAATCTCATAAAAAAAAATTTGGAAATATCATAGGGTCATTCCTCTATAGTGTCATGTGGTGGTGCTTTTATACATTCATAAAGAATTATTGCCAAGCTTACAGATGGAAAAAAAGAGATGAGTTCATAGCTGAGAAGGCCAAAAAAAATCCATGATCAGTGCTGTGAAACATGCACTCCATCTGCTGGGTGAACCACATCAGGGCAGACAAAACAAGCAGTCTGGGGAAAACAAAGTAGGTAAAAAAAAAAAAACAGCTGAAGCATGTCATTTTCCCATCTTATCTCCTGCAGAGATAACGGTGAGACATTTGTAGGTTGATTTCCTTTACAACTGCACAAACAATAACGACTACATACTACAAAAAATTGCCGTTTGTGCATCCAGGCAGACATAGCAATGGAAGCTCAACCAATGACATGAGTTTGGGGGCGTAGCTATCTGTTCATTCAAACAATGGAAGACGCGCAGTTAAAATGGGCCAACACTGAAGAAATCAACTCCAAGAACTTCTGTAGCCTCCATGATGTGCATTAACATCTGAAACAAAACTAAGAATGAACACAGAACACCAAGACTGAAACAGATATAGAATTTATTTAACCATGAGTAGGAAAAAAAAAAATACATAGGTGTAAAGGAAACAAGCTGACCCTGTTATAAACACATCACTACTTAGAGAACCAAGAGAACTGGAGAAACCGTGAAATCCAAAACGCCTTGTTTACCATTAGGTTATCATCCCCAACACTTAATATTGAATTAAAAACAGCTGCCATTATTTGATTTTTTAAAATATCTATATAGAAAATCTTTGGAGGGAGTTGAAAATCCGTGTTGCCCAGTGACAGCCCCAAAACATTACTGCTCTTGAGGAATGGGCCAAAATACCAGCAACAGTGTGTGACAACCTTGTGAAGACTTACAGAAAACGTTTGACCTCTGTCATTGCCAACAAAGTGTATATAACAAAGTATTGAGATGAAATTTTGTTATTGACCAAATACTTATTTTCCACCATAATTTGTAAATAAATTCTTTAAAAATCCTACAATGTGATTTTCTGGATTTTTTTTCTCATTTTGTCTCTCATAGTTGAGGTATACCTATGATGAAAATTACAGGCCTCTCTCATCTTTTTAAGTGGGAGAACTTGCACAATTGGTGACTGACTAAATACTTTTTTTCCCCACTGTATCTATTGTTTTTAATCACTGCCTATCTTTATATCTGATTTTTATCTATCTATCATGTTTTTAATCAGTCTATCTATATATTTTAATCTATCTCTTTTCTAATCTATGATTTTTAATCTATCTCTATTCTAATCTATGATTTTTAATCTATCATGTTTTTATCACTATCTTTATATCTGATTTTAATCCATCTATCTAGTTTTTAATCAGTCTATCTTTATATCTGATTTCAATCTATCTATCTCTGTTCTAATCTATGATTTTTAATCTATCTAGTTTTAATCACCATCAATCTATATCTGATTTCAATCTCTTTTCTAATCTATGATTTTTCATCTATCTCTGTTCTAATCTATGATTTTTAATCTATCTCTGTTCTAATCTAGGATTTTTAATCTATCTAGTTTTAATCACTATCAATCTTTATATCTGATTTCAATCTATCTCTTTTCTAATCTATTATTTTTAATCTATCTAGTTTTTAATCAGTCTATCTTTATATCTGATTTTAATCTATCTTTATATCTATCTGTGACTTTGTCTATCTATGGATTTCTCTGTATATTCAATGTGTAACATCTTCATCCATTTTTTTTTTTTTTACATTGTGCAAGTGTTATGCTGGTATTCCATAAATGGTAAACAAGAGTTGGTCCAGTGCATTATATAGTGACATTACCTAAATACTTATTGACTCTCAGCTGATTCAACCACAATCCTGACCATTGAACTACTACCCCTACTGACAGAGAAAAGTCGATTATGAAACAAGAAAAGGAAATGAAAATAATTTCTATGGTAAAGCCAGAAACATCTGCTCAAGTGGATCTGAAAAGGAGGGGGGAAATGGCTGCGAGTCATTATTGCCAAGTTGAGCATGTTGACATGATTAGCATTGTTGTTTTTGCTTGTTGTGCTCAAGACACCACCTGAAACCATTGTCTTTGACCCAAAGGAAATGACAATATGGCGATGGCAACAATATCTAAACATGCACAATTTATTAGAAGTGACTTTTTCAGAAATCGGTGACACTGAAGAGTGCACAGAACACAAGGAAGGAAAACAAGAACACTTGCTAATATAAAATATATGTCTCTTCATCTCATCTACCCTTAACCTTACTTTCTTCTGGAGATCAATAGCAGGAAAACACCTACCAAAGTAGGAAAAACAGGAGAGAGACAAAAGTAGTGTCTGCTATGCTTACCACAACCAAAACGTATCTGTACGCTTTAAACTAACTGGTTCTCAAACAAGGTGAAAAGCCACATAAAGCTCAGGGTCAAAGTTGAAATAGTTTGGTGACAAAATGACAGCTCTTTATTTCTCTGTGAGACTCTATGATTCCATTGACGCATTTCTTTTTTTTCTCAAAAGTATCTCGAAGTGAAGGTTAGCAACAATATAAATCTAGAATTCAGTGTGCCAACATTTTTACAAAAAATTTGGTTTTTGAGTATTACAAAACAAAAGCAAAATGAAAGTGACAAACTATTAGATATAATACACACATCAACACAATTCAAGTCAAAGAAAGGAAACGTGATACATTATTTATTCACACTTTACAAAAATCTTTTTACTACAACACCATCAGCAATCCAATATAACCAGACAAGTTGCTTTCAATTAAAAACAACCAGAAGAAAAACAAAACTGACTGAGATAATGTGAGGAATAAAAAGAGACACCAAAAGGGGAACTATAAGATGGTCCTCCCCAAGTTCATCTATTTACTCTTGCTTAATAAAAGTCATTAAAATTGACCTCTGCCTCATGGCAAATGTTTTCATTTTTTTTAAAAAAGCAATGAGTAGCTGCACCAGCGATCTACAATAAGTGCTTGTCAATCCATTCCATTTTTAAAACATGACAAACTCAAGAGGGATGGGGAAAACGGAAAACAAATTGGCTTCGCGAGCACGTGGCAATAAACGACGATGCCACCGTAGACAAAGTTAAAAATCAGACCGCGCTACAGTAACGGTATTCTGGCCTCGCGTTTAGAGCAGAAAACAGACCAAAAAAAAAACAAAAAAATCACCATGCATGTTTTCATCAGGTCAGAGAACAGGCTTTACAGTAGTAAATCGAGCTCTACAACTTAGCCTTGTGGCAGAATGCATTAGTTGGCACGACACGAGGAGATAACCATGATCTAGCAGGAAGTGAAATACAGAATGAGAGAAATACACAAGCAAAATATACGGTTAAAGAGAATTGCCAGAGTCGAGAGGGAGGAAGTGGCAGTAAATGGAGAATTCAAATGGGGAGAAAAAAAATGCAATAAATAGAGGAACTACAGGAGAACAATAGGATTTCACGAGCGCGGATCGGCACAGCAGAAACACTCACTTTACTCGACTTTGTAGACACCCAAAAAGATCAGAAGAATAAGATATTCGATAGCGAATACAAAAAACCCAAACAGAAATGAGGATATTGTATAAGGATGGTGAAGATGTACAGAGATTGAGGCGGTTCATGTGTTCACTGATAGCACTGGCAGTGCGCTTAGAGAAACGAATCAGTGAGGCACAGTGAAGGGTAACGGGATCACTGAAATTATACGTCCAAAATAATAATAAATCGAGAGAGAGAGAGAGAGAGAGAGAGAGAGAGAGAGAGAGAGAGAGAGGGAGAGATGCGCACTGGGTAAAAACGGGAACCTGGACAAGTGCAACTTTACACAGCAGAGACCTGACAAAAATTATTTTACACGCTGGTCTTTTGAATGTTCGTTAGGATGAACATCTAAAACGGATAGAAATTTAGCTTTCATTTACAATACAATCATTTTTCATCCAAATCCAAAAAAGTGTACGTACAAAAAAAAAAAACCTGTAGATCAGGACTTTTGTATACAATCATGTAGAGACAAAAAAAAAAAAAAAAAAAAAAAAGTCTTGGCTGGGCGAGGCGTCTACTGGTCACATTGAGAGTTTAATTTATCCGTCTATGGGTGGGATGTGCTTGTCTTTGCCTGTTCTAGCATATTTTCTGCATGATTTCCTGCCGAACTTCCTCAGGTGCAAAGGCTACTGGCACACGCTAACACGAAGCTGGCCATTCCAGATGATTTCTCTTCACGGAAACCCTTTCTCAGCCGTACGCACCAGACAGGCGGGCACCTCAGCTCAAGGAGGGCTCTATGGCACATGAAGCTAGACAACTCCATAAATCGGCCATTTTGGCTCTTGAAACGTTGCTTTCTTAAAAGCATGAATACAAAAAGGTGCGATTGCACTGGCATCCAATGGACTTAATTACAAGATGGACAAGGCCCGCTAGTTGGTGATGGCGGGCCGTGCAAACCCATCACTGGTGAACAGCTAGAGCATCCGTGGAGAGGCCTCAGCACCACTGAGCGCAAATGTAAGAGTTCGGCCAGCTCTCTTTACACGTTAAAAGCCCTTTTTTAAAGGGTTGCTCCTGGAGATCGGACTATCTGACCTAAGCTGGTGAAATTTTTTTTTTCGTCATCAAATTTAGCTGCTTGCTCTAAACTGGCCTCATAGTAGCATGATCCAAATTATGCATTTCATGATAACTTGCTTTATCTGGACTCCCTGCATGAGTTTCAAAGATATTGCCATTTAGTTATTTATATTAAAAAAAGCTTTTTTTTCTGTCTTTAGGTAAAACTTACATGATCACTCAGGGCCCTTAGGGTTTTGAAAAAAAGTACAGAATGTTAATTGTGCCCAGAAACGGAAGGTAGAAAAGGAAAAATGAAAAACAAAAGAAAGAAAAAGTGGGTGGGAGGTGGTAGAGATAAGACTGACATTAGCGTCTGCTTCAGTTAAAATCCGTGGGAATAAAAGTTTACCATACCCCATCTCCTCTTAAGGGATTCAGATTTATACACAACAGCCCTTGCCTCATTCTCTCTCCACTATGAGAGCAAAAGGCAGGGGCCAGAGCTCCCCTGCTGGCTCTGAGAACTACCTGCGACCAGGCAGATGAATGCCGTTGACAGCAGGCAGATAGGGCAGAAGCAGCTCCAGTTGTGCAAACAGGGAGAAGTGATCAGAGGGGATGTGGGGATGGGGGCAGCCAGTGACATTGTTCTCGTGGAGCCAGTGGGGGTCCAAGGGACCCAGCACACCCAGCACGTTAAGCAAAGGCTGAGAGTAGAAGATGTAGTCAATGATGCCCTGAAAAGAGAGAGAAAAAAGAAAAAAAAAGAAAAACCATTACAATTGTGCCATTGATGGTTTGACACCAAGGTAAAACATGCTATGAACACACTTAAATACTTAACTATTAACTTAATATATTTCAAAAGTGTTAATACAATTAAATTTTTATCCTCAAAATAAGTAACAAATGTACAAACAAGAAGTTTGTTGAATGGCATACAGTTTTAACATTAAACTTCTTGAAACAACTAACTTGTTTTGTCTAAACGATGGTCCCTTGGATTTTAAAGTGAATATGCCTAGAGATTAGGGGTGTACTGACAATAACATTAAAAACAAAAAATAATAATTGTATTGCACCTTAAAGGGATAGTTTACCCAAAAATTACAATTTTGAAGAATGCAGATAATCAAACCGTTGCTGTACCCCACTGACTTCCATATATTATATAACTATGGAAACCAACGGGGACGAGCAACTAGGGGGTGTGCAATATATATTGTCTACAATATCATAATTGTTTAAATGACATGCATTTTGATATCAAGTAGACCTAAAAAAAAAAATAAATAAATAAAAATACACAAAAACCACCAGAGAGTGCACGCATACACTATGAGATATAGGTTAGACCAGTGTTTCCCAACCTTTTCTTTTTTAGTCGCAGCACCCTTTGGAAATTAAAAAAATATATAAAATTGTGGCACCCTACAAAATTGTCACAATACTTGAATTTCTAACTTCGATACAATACTTTGAAAAGTATAGATATTTGGTACAGATATCAGATGTCATACATATATTTTTAATATTACACAATTTTTTGTCCATCAATGGTGGCAATCAGTAGGCTTTTATTCCTATGTAAACATTGTTTAATTACCATTAAAACTAGCCATCTCACAAATTTTTGCTCACTCAATGTATTTATTTTACAGTGGGGCAATTTTGTTGCAGCAGCACAAGATAGCATGATTTCAAACTTTGAATTGAATATAAAAAAAAAGACAAGCAAGCAGTCAGTAATAAAATAAGAACGAATAAACAAATTACTAATGATAGCACAAATAAATGATACAAATGAAAAAGAGTTTAGTTTTTCAGGTAGGTCTAATAGTAGGGCTAAGATTTTTTTTTATTTTTTTTTACACAATTATCCAAATAATGTTTAGTCCTAGAAAGCTATTATTATCAGAACGCGTGAGCATATCATAGCAGTTAGCAGATCAATGAATAAAAGGGCAGCATTACCAGAGTTGCCCATACACTACCACACCATGTTACAGCACAGTAGGGCTATTGCAAACAGAAATAATACTGCACTACATAGCCGTTTCCTGTCGGCTCGATTTTTTGAGTGGACTTTGCTGTTCCGATGAGCATGAATGGTATATGAGTGGAGCGCACACGCATAGAGCGGGATAACACGCAGAGCATCACACCACGTGAAAGTGAAACCTGAGCGATGAACTCATTTTCGGTAGGGTTGGGTATTGTTTGGTTTTTTCCAATACCGGTGCCAAATCGATACTTTTAAAACTGTTCCGGTGCCTAAATTGTGCCTGAACTGATACTTATAAAAAAATTCCCCAAAAACATGGATTGGCCATTAGAACAGAAACAGAATAGTGTGTGCAAATGTTAGAGGGTCAAGTTTTTTTAATAAAAAAAACCCAACAAACAGATAAAATTAGAAGTAGCATTAGAATAGAGAGTGCTAGAGTTAAAGGGTCAAATGAAGATGAAAGATGTGTTTTCAGACGTTTCTTGAAAATATTAAGGACTCAGCTGCTTGGATTGAGTTGGGCAGGTCATTCCACCAGGAGGGAAGTTAATGTAGAAGACCATGAAAGTTTTATCATAAGTAGAATGCAGAATGTTTCAATACAAGCATTTCAGTCAAATGTAATTTATGCAATATTTCAAACCTTTAACCCACTTGGGAAAATCAACCCATGGCAACAGTTTAAAAGTAGCCCAATTCTGTGGAAAAAATGCGGACTTGGCAACCCTGCATCTAACAAGAGCTACCGGAGTCAGATTTGCCTGATCACAGGTCGAGAATAAGGAGAGATGACTGACAAGACCATGCTGGAGTATCTTGTAAGATGTGCTCCCTTTACACAGAGTGCGTGTGATTGCGAAATAGTGTTATTTTTGTCCTAACCACCCACGACAGTGACACGTGACAATAAGCGACATGGGATTCTATTTTAGGAACGGTTTTTATTTTCTGTAATGCCGCGGCAGGAACAACATACAAAATATGACAGTGATAATGATTATGTGCTTTATTCAATGTTAAAAGTGTCTAATGGGAGTTTGAATATTATTTTGCGTTATCTTTATAGCCATAGTGAAAGCAACAATAGATAGGCTATTTTACCTCAGATCTTGAAAATAAATTAAAGCAAACTTGTACGTTAAAACTGTGAACTCAATGCGAACCAACATGTGTATGTTTTCCATAAAGATATCAGTCACTCACTCAAAACTGTTCAGTCCATTCACATTTGAATCATCTATTTTCCGTGTCCACTTTTCTTTTCTACACACTCGCCATGTTTTTGCAGTCACATCGTATCTACACTGTTATCGTATATATAACATTGTGTCAGTACGTTATAAATAGAACGAGTCAGCAGTTTACTGTCGGGATTTGTTGTGTCGCTCCGCATCCAAGACAGCATCACTGATTATAACGAGTTCTTGTATTTTATTGCATCGTGGCGCTCGCGTCTGGTGTAGACACGATGTAAGTTAATGTAGCTTTCTGATGCTGCGTTTGAATTTTCATGCCACATTATTTGAAATTAGCACGGGCCAAACTTTTTTCTCTCACGGGCCGGATGTGGCCCGCGGGCCGCCTATTGAGGAACCCTGCTAAAAAAACGATCAGTCACCTGCAGGATCCTCACAAGCGATACAGCCTACTAGCCGGGACAACGTCTTTATGTTTACAGATGTGCCGTAATGACGCAGCAGCATGCTCGAATTTCCCAAGAATTCATACCATCATGATTTGCTGCCACATACTGGTGATTTTAGGTTTATATTTATATATGTTTTTTTTATGCAAATTAACAGCTTAAACTTAAATTAACAACTCTCCAAACTAATTAACAGCTAAAACAGATTTATACAAGCATTGCATTAAAAAAATTTCAAACCTTAAAGTCAAACGTGTAGTTGGTGTAAGGCATCAGGCCATTCTCATAGGCACTCTTCAGCTTGAAGCCGTGCGTGATCCTGGTGCTGGAGGTGCCGTTCTTGCCGTTGCAGTTGAAGTTGGTCAAGCTGTCAATATATCGCAGCTCTTTGAAGTCCTTGTGGGTGCTGTCCACACCACCTGTGCTCAGGTACTCCACCACACCTGTGTGAGCATGGAAAAACCCCATCAACAATAATGCAAGAATGAAAACCAATCTCTAAACACTATGTTTCAGGCATACGTACCCGACTCAGGTAGAGAGTTGAGGTCAGCGCACAGGACGAGAGGGATGGCATTGGTTTCTCCTGAGATGGAGGAGAGCTTGAGACTGCGAGTGGCTTTATCCACAATGTTCTTCACTTCAGACAGAAACATCATGGTCTGGACAAGCTTAACATCCGAGTACTCGGGGTCCCAGTGCATATGAGCATTGGCCACAAGGAGGAGCTGTTTCTCCATGCCATGCAGAGGCTTTCCAGCTATAGAGCAGAGAGAGACACTGCTTAGATATTTGCTTTGAGACAAGAGTCTCTGCCCAGTGTTATGTTGGTATCAATGAAACTAATAATTCGCTAATAAAACACTTATTGAACTGAAAAGAATCAACATTGAACTGACTCAAGACAGTAGTGTCATTATTCAGCTTCAGACGAGCTGCTTATCACTGAACTGAACTCATTTAGTAATGAATGACCTATACACACTTACTGAACCAACACTGAACTGACTGGAGCTGAAGAATGACACTATTGTCTTGCTACAGCTGCTTTATAGCATTCTGGATTTGCCTCGTTTTTTTAAGTTGGCATCATCGATTCGGTTACTTTCCCGTTTAATACTGTGAAGCTCCACTGAATTAATCTCTACTGTAAAAAGTACTATAAAAGTAAATGTGACTTCACCATTGAGACACTAGTCTTTGAGTTAGTTGTAAAATTTTAGCAATTGTGTTGCATTTGCCATTTTTGTAAACATGTCTATATGGTTTATTCATTTTTACTTCAGTTTTAATTTTAGTACAAAGGTAAACTAAATTAAAATTTTATTTCAATGGCAACTTGTTGAAATAGTTTAATACTTTATTTCCGTTAATGTTTTTCAAACAACAAATGTCTCTGGTTTTAGTTAAGAATAATAAAAAAGGTACAGAATTGTAATATTGTTTGTGACATTTACTTTGAAAAATAGATATCTACTAGAATTACACTTAACATGTTTATTAAATTAGTGTTTTTACATTTTAACTGAGGGAGCATTAAATGACAAAGATGCTAATCTAAATGCTGAAATTGGAGAAAAGAGCATGTATAGCTAGAAATTAGTCCAGCCCTTAAATATGATTGGCTGAGCCTCGTTCAAAGCATTTGTATAACTCCATAAACATCTGTGACATCATTACATTAGTATTATTACATAAAGCATGCTTTCCACTGCTTGGCACTCATTTTGCTAAATGTTGCTGAAAAACTAGTGATTGGCAGAAGTGTTATTTAATAAAGCATTTTTGTTTGTATTTTAAACCTTGCCAAATGTGCAGTAACCGTTTTAAGCAATAAATGCTATATCTAACACCTTTTTAAATCACTGTAAAATACGACTTTACTTATAAATGATTATATTACAAACGTATTATTCTTCTTATTAATCCGAGTAGTTTTAAACAACACATGTACAAAAGAAATGTCAGTTTGTGTGGTTGGTGGACTATAAAGCATTACATTAATCCCAAACACTGCAATACAATGAAAGCATCAATATTTTTAGATATTACTGTGAATAGTTAAAGATCTATATATTTGAGGAATTTTATATTTTCAGTAAATCATGCAGATTTAGTCTGATGTCACACCGGAAGGAGTAACATCTACCAAGAGCAAAAAGCAAGGGGAAAAAGAAAACGGACCAGAATGCTCCATCATCTCTTTCCGCAGCTCTAGTAGTACAGCGACTCCGATGTTGTCCTTTGTCATCACCCTGTTCAACATGGCCTCTGAACCTTCTGAATTTGCCATAGCCAGCTGGTTAAACTCCACGGTGTGTTTCTGCACCAGACTGAACCTGCTCAACAGAAACAGTGAGGTCAGGACGACATGCAAACACAACATGCTAGAACAATTGTTGTTCAAACTACTAATCTAAAGGCTTGCAGTCTGCTTATGGTGGACTCACTTCTCTGTTTTATAGAAGACTGCGCAGCCGTCCACATGTTTGCGGTCTGATTCAGACATGGTCCTGGCTCGGGACTTAGGACTGAAGAATCCTTCATAACCATGTTCCTTCAGCTCCACCAGGAAATAGTTGTAGTACTGCTCCGTTTCCACTTCCTATTGGGCACAAAAGAGGTAGATTTTATGACTGGGTGTAAATGAGATAACCTAATTGAACAGTTTCGGAGTCACTGGAATAAAATCCTTTCATTGCAGTATTAGCCAAAGTAAGAAATACCTTGAAAGCACAGTTCTACATCTTGAGTTATGTGAACGGCTGACAAACCTGTAGGCTGATGATATCCGCACTGCAGTTGAGAATCTCCTGCATGATGGACTTCTTCCTGTAGTCCCAGTGGAGGGCCCAGGAGGGACAGTAGCCATAGAGCTGGCGTGTGGCGTACTTGTCACACAGCACATTGTAGCACATTACAGAGAAAAGTGCTAAAGTGTGAAGAGAGGAAGCAAGACATCAGTGAGGTTGCCAAAAATAGCTATTCATTAAGATGCTGCTAGTTTTATTTACAAAGACATTCAATATTTAAACAGTATTATTATAAATTTCTCTTTCATGTGACTTTAAAGTGTCATGAAACCCCCCTGTTCCTGCACTGGTTTTTCACACCTTAGACCTGAAAGACTTCAGAAATGGCCATGTAAAACTATGGAAAAGTCTGAGTGTAGAGGGCGGGAAGAGAGCAGAAAACCACCAATAAAACACAAACCTACAAAACACTCATTATACAGACAAACGAATATTAAAATATCTTTAAAACAGAAATAATAAATGCACTTAATTTTTGTTTACTCTTCTTTGAATTTTCGGTCTGTATCGTTTGCCGGGTATCACAATAATCTGTCGTGTCACGGCGTTCATGATTAGATGTACCGCTGTATCAGTTCCTTTATTTGCGTGTATTTTATTTGATGAAGACATGTGCACATACTGGTTCATGAGCAGGAGAGAAAATAAAATGTTCACAAAACTTGAAAGCTTGCTCAGGTCCAGATATGAACTATGATTGGCTTAGCGAGTGTGTTAAAGGAGTCATATGATGCTATTTAAGATTCGGTTACACCAAATAATGATATGTTGACATGCTTTAATGTTCAAAAAACAAAATTTTTCAAATACTGTACATTATTGTAGGTCCTCTATGCCCCGCCTCTCTCAAACGTGTAGTTTTCAACAAAGCCCCCTCCTTTGACAAGCGCAGTCTGTTCTGATTGGCCAGCTGACCCATCGCATTGGGATTAGCCGAACACCACAAGCACGCGTCGGAAATGTAACGCCCCTTACCATAATCGCGAGCTTCAGCTTTCAAAGTAAATATCAAGACAGTTAATAATGTCGTTAGTTTTACCATCAGTTCAAGCCCGAAAGGGCAAGTCATGTGACAGACACAGTGATGATGCAATACACAAGCCGCGGTTAAGACCAGATTGTCATAGCAAAGTTGGAATTGGCCCTTTTTTTTTTTATTTTATTTTTTTTTTTTAAATAGCCTTTGTGCATAGCCAGCCTTGTACTCTTCTAGGTTCAAAAAAACTGTCGTCCATAAAATGCGTAGCACAAATTCGAACATCTGGTGTGTGCCGTTCTGTTGTAAATAAATCTTAACCAATGATTCCTAATTGCATCTACTTCCGGAAGGCCAAATAAAGTGCTCCTGCACTGAAACACACAGCGTCTCACTGACATGGCTGCATCAACACTACTGCTGTTCCTGAAACCACGCCTTCTTTCTTTGCATGCACATTTGGGCGGCATTATGCTAATATTTCCACATAGTGACGTAGATATGTGGGGGTGTGTTAGAACGAGACGTTTTAGGTAGGCGTGGCTGACGCTTAAATTTTATATAGAATATCTCTTTGGATTTGAGACTTTAGTCTTTGTAACTTTACAGATCTTCTTTATGCACCAAGAGCTTGTAACACTCCAAAGAGAAAGGAAAACTTGAAATCGCATCATATGACCCCTTTAAACCAAAGACTATGGTTAAACTCAGTGGCATTCTCATGCACGCTCCACATGCCGTTACATATTAAATATTGTTACGGTCATGTTTACAGAGGTGAACTGACAACGCAGAAGCTCTTTCATGAGATTTGAATTCTCCGCTGTGAGACGACCTCATGCGTAATACAGCGCAGTTATTGGATCATAAAACTTAATTCTCATGAATATGGAGAACTGATGACGTAGACATGTACTCTCCAGCGACAGCAGCCAATCGCCACTGCAAATTAATGCATATATGTCACTTTTCGTGTTGCTTTTTGAACCGGAAGAACAAACTGCTCCAAAAATGGAAAAATAACCACTTTTACCTTAATAATAGATACGAGTGTTGTCGGCGCCGATGGCCTCGTGGGCAGCGCGCCGACATGTAGTGTCGTTGCACTTTGGGCATCCTGAGTTCGAGTCCCGCCTCGCGGACATTTCCCGATCCCACCCCCCTCTCTCTCACCCACTTCGCTTCCTGTTGACCCTACTGTCCTAATAAAAGGCATAAAACACCAAAGAAAAAAAAATCTAAAAAACAAAAATAGCTACTAGTGTTATTGTCGTTTTCACTGATGTGCAACCTGTTCATATAGGTTAACATCTCAAAAAATGTGTTTTAGGGTTTCATGACATTTAAGGAATTCACATAATTTGGCAGTCTTAACTACAAACTACCAAAATAAACATTACATTTCATTTAAAAATGACAAAATTAATGTAAAAATTCACTTCTCAAAGTAGTAGCAGTGACAATAATAATAAAAAAATTTTAATTCAGTTATTTTTGTATTTGCTTAGTTTTAAAATAGTTACATTATGAACTCATTTAAGGACTACAGTTTGATTAATTTGTTCTAATCAAGAAATTTAAATTATAATTTTTTATTAAAATGGAACTTGAGGAAAGGAGAAGAATTTCAAAAGGGCCTTAATTAAAAGGGCATTAGTTAGGAATTCAATCGATTAGACATGCTTTTCAATGCTTAAACCATTAAATCAGAAAACACTGAACTGGGAAAAATAAAAAGGTTTCTTAGAGCTCTAGATTAGAAGCAAACCAAACTAAACTTATGGCTAAAACACCATATCAAGATCCTCACATGTGCTTGAAGTATACTACAGACATAGTGCCTGCAGACTAGGTCTAATCCAATCTCAGCCAAATCAAATCAAATCTTTTTTGGTCTAATAAAATCAAACATAACCTTATCACAAATTAAAAATTATTTGATTAATTGTGCAGCCCTAGGTCTCATGAAGTAAAACTGCCTCTAAGCCATGCTTTGAGGATGTCTTGCACTTTATTATTACAAACCCAATTCCAAAAAAGTTGGGACACTGTACAAATTGTGAGTAAAAAAGGAATGGAATAATTTACAAATCTCAAACTTATATTTTATTCACAATAGAATATAGATAACATATCAAATGTTGAAAGCGAGACATTTTGAAATGTCATGCCAAATATTGGCTCATTTTGGATTTCATGAGAGCTACACATTCCAAAAAAGTTGGGACAGGTAGCAATAAGAGGCCGGAAAAGTTAAATGTACATATAAGGAACAGCTGGAGGACCAATTTGCAACTTATTAGGTCAATTGGCAACATGATTGGGTATAAAAAGAGCCTCTCAGAGTGGCAGTGTCTCTCAGAAGTCAAGATGGGCAGAGGATCACCAATTCCCCCAATGCTGCGGTGAAAAATAGTGGAGCAATATCAGAAAGGAGTTTCTCAGAGAAAATTTGCAATGCGTTTGAAGTTATCATCATCTACAGTGAATAATATCCAAAGATTCAGAGAATCTGAAAATCTCTGTGCGTAAGGGTCAAGGCCGGAAAACCATACTGGATGCCCGTGATCGTCGGGCCCTTAGACGGCACTGCATCACATACAGGAATGCTACTGTAATGGAAATCACAACATGGGCTCAGGAATACTTCCAGAAAACATTGTCGGTGAACACAATCCACCGTGCCATTCGCTGTTGCCAGCTAAAGCTCTATAGGTCAAAAAAGAAGCCATATCTAAACATGATCCAGAAGCGCAGGCGTTTTCTCTGGGCCAAGGCTCATTTAAAATGGACTGTGGCAAAGTGGAAAACTGTTCTGTGGTCAGACGAATCAAAATTTGAAGTTCTTTTTGGAAAACTGGGATGCCATGTCATCCGGACTAAAGAGGACAAGGACAACCCAAGTTGTTATCAGCGCTCAGTTCAGATCTCTGATGCTCTGATGGTATGGGGTTGCATGAGTGCGTGTGGCATGGGCAGCTTACACATCTGGAAAGGCACCATCAAGGTATATCCATATATCCAAGTTCCAGAACAACATATGCTCCCATCCAGACGTCATCTCTTTCAGGGAAGACCTTGCATTTTCCAACATGACAATGCCAGACCACATACTGCATCAATTACAACATCATGGCGGCGTAGAAGGATCCGGGTACTGAAATGGCCAGCCTGCAGTCCAGATCTTTCACCCATAGAAAGATGTGACAAAGAAGACCTAAGACAGTTGAGCAACTAGAAGCCTATATTAGACAAGAATGGGACAACATTCCTATTCCTAAACTTGAGCAACTTGTCTCCTCAGTCCCCAGATGTTTGCAGACTGTTATAAAAAGAAGAGAGGATGCCACACAGTGGTAAACATGGCCTTGTTCCAACTTTTTTGAGATGTGTTGATGCCATGAAATTTAAAATCAACTTATTTTCCCCTTAAAATTATAAATTTTCTCAGTTTAAACATTTGATATGTCATCTATGTTGTATTCTGAATAAAATGTTGAAATTTGAAACTTCCACATCATTGCATTCTGTTTTTATTCACAATTTGTACAGTGTCCCAACTTTTTTGGAATCGGGTTTGTAGAAAAGACAACTCGCATTACATATCTGCACCAGAGTAAAAGAGAAGTGAGAGTAAATGGTGCAGTGATGACCTGTGTAACACAATGTGAACTGAAGTGAAAGGGTCTCACCTGCTGGCCGTGTTCTGTCGGGCTCCTGCAGTGGTATCCATGAGCGAGGTGGTGGCTGTTCTATAGGTACTATGGCGAAAAAAATAAATACACTCAGTGAGTGAACTTTTCAGTAAAAACTGAGCAATGACACAATGGAAATGGTCTGACCGCCGCATTGCCATGCAAGAACATAGTAATTATCTCCACAGTAATTCAGAGAGAATCAAAAGAAAATGTTCAATCAGACAACAATGTCATGACTCATTTCACTGCATGAAATTAATCTGTTCTAAAGAGCATGTACAAGAATAGAAGCTTTTCAGTGCTTGCCACACAAGCGGGGCAGTTGTACAAGGGTTAACTCACCACGTTTGGTGCCTGCAAGATTGTCCAGCAGGTAGTTGAGTAGCCGACGTGTCCCATCAGGCTCTTGGTAGAGGTTCAAGATTTCTTGTGCAAGTGGGTTTCCTATAGGACACAACCAAACATGAAACATGACATGTCACAAGAACATGTATAATTACAGAACCAGTACATAGTAGGGCTGCCCCCTAATAGTCGACTAATCGTTAGTCAAACAGAAGAGGTTTGGTCGACCAAAATTTTATTAGTCTCAGAAAGAAAAATAATCCACGGGCGAAGTCACGCAGTCTGCGACTAACAGATCGTTAACGGCTAGTCTTACCATCTGAAATATGCAAGTATTAGCAACTTTACATGGCCGCTCAATCTAATGTTAACCTAGAGAAATGTGTGCTGCTCAAGTGTCTGTGCGGAGTGTGGAAGCTGAACAGTAGTGCTCACTGCAGGACAGATGGAGGCGCCGGTGCGCTCACTTGCTCTTAAAATACTGGTCATTTTTGGTCATACAGATAAGAGTAATACATCTTTCAAAACTGTGAAGACTACGTTTATTTGTGTGCACTCACAATACTGCGCCTTTGTAAAATAATGAAAGCAAACACGCGCTTTCTGCCATCTCGGTCTTTGAACTTGAGCGCGAAACTCCGTGTATATATTTGCCTTAGACATTAAAAATATATCTACAGTATAGAGAGTGAAATGTGTACTTTCAAATGAACCAATTCAAATGGAAAACAAATTCTCAGATTACGTAATCCGTATGTAACGCATCCACTACTGCGGAGTCAGTGTTGCCGACTTAATCTCTTAAAGGGATAGTTCACCCAAAAATTCTGTCATTAATTACTCGCCCATCATGCCCCCTAATAGTCCATCATGTCGTTCCAAACCCGCAAGACCTCCGTTCATCATCGGAACACAAATTAAGATATATCTGATGGAATCTGAGAGCTCTCCGACCCTCCCATAGACAGCAAGGATATTACCACGATCAACGCACAGAAGCGTAGCAAGGACATCGGTAAAATAATCCATGTGACATCAGGGGTTCAACCGTAATATTACGAAGCTACGTGAATACTTTGTGCACAAATGAAAAAAAAAAAAAATGCTGTTCTGTGTCAGCTGTGCTATGCGGATACGTTTTCTACGTTGTTTGTGCTTTGATTTGAACGAAAACAATGTATCCGTGTGGTGCGGCTGACACAGAACAACATACGCTGTTTGCGTTCAGTGGATACTCTCCAAAATGGCGCTAGGGTGATGCGGATGATACGAACAAGTCGTTTTTTTTTTTTTTCTCTTTTGCGCACACAAAAAGTATTCTTGTAATCTTGTATTCCGTAATATTACGGTTGAACCCCTGATGTCACATGGATTATTATTAGGGGTGGAACGGTTCAACTTACTCACGGTTCGGTTTGTATCACGGCTTTGGTATGGTTCGGTATGTGCTTTGTTTAGCCAAAACTATACTGTCAAATAATAAAGAAAATAAGAATAATCCAACTACAAGCAACAGCACAAATAAATACAATGGAGTACAGATACAAAAAATAAACAGTGATTTTCAGTTTCAGGTAGGTGTAACATTAGTTTTCAGGTACAGAAATTGAATAAAGTAACGAAATGTAAAACAGCATTGCATATTTGACTGTATAAATTAAAGATAAATCTTTATTAAAATTACAAAAGCTATTCAATCAAGAGCAGTGAGTGATTTCTTTGTTGTTGCGGTTTGATTAATATTAAGAAAGTGATGTCATTTTAAGAGAATGCACTGATACAGTACGTTCAGCCGGCTATGTCTGCTATAGGATACTTACCAAGACGGGCAATTTTGACCATTTTTGCGTGAATTTGTCCATTTAAACAATACTTCAGAGAAAGCTTAATATTTGCTAGCATTCTGAGGCACGGGTTTGTACGCGTCGGATGAGCGCACGTACATAGTGATGGGACGTTTGGCTCTTTTCAAAGATTCGGCTCTATTGGCTCTGCTCCCTTAGCTCCACTCTTACGGCTCCCAAATGGCTCTTTATTTAGTATCACTCTGAGCCTTCTATTTTAGCCCAATTTAGCAATTGTGAATGGTTTGTGTGTTGGTATGCAATTTTTTTTCATAAAAGCCGTATTTCTATGCTTTTTTTTGTTTTTGTTACAACAAAAAAAAAATTAAATACACAGGTACTATTATTTAACACTTTAATAATAGCCTAACACTTTAGTCTTTAGTGCAGGTTGGCATTCAGAACTATCAGATGCCTCAGCTTGGATGTGCTGATTCCTCTCTGTGATTATTTGTCCTGTTTTTGAGAAGACTCTCTCTGAGGGGACCGATGTTGCAACAAATTGCAGTCTGTTCCTACCTTAACCAATGCGCTTGCGTTTAAATCCAGCTCCCCTGTCCCTCTCTGTCGCTCTGTGTACCTGGCCTTTACCACTACACTCACTATGTTCGGAGCTTGTGTCCCCCTTCCTTCTTTCCCATAATGGTATGATCCTAGTCTGTCCTCCCATGTGATTAGCCGCATGTATTTTTTTTTTTTACGGAAAAACTCATAAAAGGCTTTTTTTTAACACCAAATAAAACATTGCTTACCAACACAAACCATTCACAATTGCCAAATTGGCTCTTCTCGTTTGCTACAAAGAATCAGCTCCTAGAGCCGGCTCGTTCGCGAACGACACTCACTGCGGGTGATGGAATAAATGCTCATATTCCAGCATAGGGCAGTCACATTGAACAAGAGTGAATGGTTTGTCCACTTTTTTTCCCTTCCCCCATCGCTGTTGTTGTAATGTATTGGGAAGCCAGAATGCACATCCATCAACAGAAGCATATATTTGCTAAACCCTGGTTTATTTTACGTGTTATTTATAGCAAACCATATTACAGCTGCGTTGTCAGATTTAAGTTGAACCGCGGTCCTAGCGCGTGCGGTTCGATTTTTATTTTTTTTTTCCCACAAACCATTCCACCTCTATTTTACAGATCTCCTTGCTAAGTTTCTGGACATTGATCGTGTAAGGACCCTTGCTGTCTATGGGAGGGTCAGAGAGCTGTCAGAATGCATCAAAAATATCTTAATTTGTGTTCCGAGGATGAACGGAGGTCTTACGGGTTTGGAACGACATGAGGGTGAGTAATTAATGACTGAATTTTCATTTTTGGGTGAACTAACCCTTTAAATCGAAAACAAAGAAAGCAGTTTATCAAATTCTTTAAATGTTAATGCAGTCTCCTTACTGTTTTTTCCTGACATATTCATAAACATTGCTTCTGCCGGTGCGCTGTAGCAAGCTTTATGCGTGTACTTGAGCACTTATTAGGCTTTGTAGGCAATTAAAAGGCTCATTATAATGATTTAAATGGCTTATTAAAAATATGTGCGATTAAGTCGACTAATGCTTCAAATGAACGGTTACTAGTCGACCAGAAAAATCCTTAGTCGAGGGCAGCCCTAGTACATAGATCACTGCAAAATTACATTTACATCTGGATTTCTCAAAAATGGCATCACTAATCCTAACACCACTTAATTGTGAATCCAAAAGGGGAGAAAATTTTCTTTGCAATTCCTGTCTAAAACTGACAGCTTATTGCAACTGTACAATGAGTCAAATAAAAGTCTAAAATTAAGGACTGGTATTAAATGAGTTACTTCAGAGCAACAAAATATCAACAATTAACTAGGCCCACATGGAATCCACACCTGGAGAAAAGCTCTGCACACTTTAGATATTTTGACCAATTTGATTATGATTGTCTGCTACTAATAAATGTAGTACATTCAGGTTAGTTTACAACCTTTTACCATTTCTAAATCCTAAATTCTAAAACCAGCACAGAAAAAGCAACAACTTCCATAAAATCCACCTGGGCCTGCAAAACTAAAGTTTTACGGGTTATAAAAGGAAGTAGTACCTTTCAAACCCAACGTTTGTAACTGAAAGAGTTTTCCAAGCTCAAAAGGCAGAACTCGTAACTGGTTGTTATTTAAAAGCAGTTCCCTGTGAAACAAACAGACAAAAATTTGAATGCCATAAAAACAGTGATCATCATACAGCAATAAGCACAAAAATATACAGGGATCAAATATTGCATGAAAACCCAAATGCTATATAAAACTGAACGTCCTCAACCAGCCTTTGAGCCGCCACGCTCACAAAACCTATTGTAGCCTTGTGCATTTCAGCAGTTGGATGAAATCCCAACCACTTTCAAAGGTACCTAATACAGTATCATTTCAGCTGCTCTCAGAACATGATTTATAACCATCCCAAGCAGCAGTAATCACACTACCAGAGAAGTGGCAACATATTTCAACCTGTGACAAATGAAATTGATTCAGAGCAAACCACGGTGTCACCCACATATGAGAATGGTGTTGTTATCAGAGCACAGCCCCTGGAGGCAAACATCACCTCTGAAGAATATAGGACCTAACTAAAGCCTGGAGGCTACACGACTTGGAAAAAGCAAGCATGGGGTTAAAAAGTCTCTGCACGCTACCACAATGGTCTCATCCATCTGCCTTACAAAATAAAATCTTTATGGTGGTTTCAAGCCTTGTAATTCACAGTGTGCAAACAAACAGAATATTAGCTTCTCACCTGAGATTAACCAAGTTGCCTAGCTCGGCAGGCAGGCTCCTGATCTTATTGGACGAGAGGTCCAGGTACACCAAGTTGTGTAGTTTGGCAATGTCGGGTGGGATTCGTGAAAGTGAGTTATCACTGATATGAAGAGCAGTGAGGTGGGTAAGGGACCATAATGCTGAACTTAAACTCCTCACTTTTCCTGCAAAGAAAAGACAGCATAAACAGTAAGTTGCATGCTTAAGCACCACAAAAAAAAAAAACCCTTAAAGGGTTAGTTCACCCAAAAATGAAAATTCTGTCATTAATTACTCACCCTCGGGTTGTTCGAAACCCGCAAGACCTTCGTTCATCTTCGGAACACAATTTAAGATATTTTTGATGAAATATGAGGGCTCTCTGACCCTCCCATAGACAGCAAGGTAACTACCACGTTCAAGGTCCAGAAAAGTACCAAGATGATCGCTTGTGGACGCGCGTTCACGACAGTATCATGGTGCGAGCGTGTGGCGGCGCTAACCCAGATTAAGAAAGTATCCTCGTAGCTTTGTAACTTTACAGTTGAACCACTGATGTCACACAGACTACTTTGTCGATCATCTTGGTACTTTTCTGGACCTTGAACATGGTAGTTACCTTGCTGTCTATAGGAGGGTCAGAGAGCCCTCAGATTTCATCAAACATATCTTAAATTGTGTTCCGAAGATGAACAATGGTCTTACGGGTTTGGAAGACAAGGGTGAGTAATTAATAACAATTTTCATTTTTGGGTGAACTAACCCTTTAAAACGGACTCAAGTTAACATACTAAAATGTCTAAAACAACTTGACATCAACATGAAACAGCATTTGCAAATTTTACTTCTGCAAAATTTATGTATTTTTTTAGTTAAACAAACACAAAAGGGGAATACCGGAGTTCAGCCTCAAGAAAATCAACATCCCAAATAAATCTTTTTAAACTCTAGGGCTGCAACTAATGATTATTTCATTGATTAATCGCATAAAAGCAAAAATGTAATTACTCTATTTGGAGGATAACATTAGGCTGGATGTGGAATATATAAAGCATAAATTGAAGGCTATGAAAACAACAGTTAAAGGGTTAGTTCACCAAAAAATGAAAATTAGGCTGTTTTACTCACCCCCGAGACATCCTAGGTGTATGACTTCCTTCTTTCAGACGAATCCAGTCGGAGTTATATTAAAAATTGTCCTGGCTATTCCAAGCTCTATCATTGCAGTCAGCAGGTGTTGCAGTGCTTCAGTCCAAAATAAGTTAAATAAAAAGCACCCATCCATTAAAAAAAATTTAATAAAAATAAAAAGTGTCTCACACGGCTCCGGGGGGTGAACAAAGGCCTCCTGTAGTGAATCGATGCATTTTTGTAAGAAAAATAACCATATTTAAAACGTAATCAATTTAATCTAGCTTGCGTTCACTGTTGTAAACAGAAGCAACTCTGGGCGGATGACGTATGAGGTCGGCTTTGCGCATGCTCCGGAGGCTCAGAAGTGACAAACACGGAAGCGCAGGGGAGAGATCAAAACAAAACAACGGTCCCCAATTAGAACTACAAAACGAGGATTTGTAGAGAAGAATGTCAGAGGATTTTGATATAAGCCAAGAGGAAACTGGTTTTCCTTTGCTAAAGTAAGGAGACTTCGCTTCCTTTGCTCCTGTAAACAAACGTTGGTTTTCACGAGACTCACGCATGCACAACGCCAACCTCATACATCATCCTCCCGGTAGGGATGTAACGGTATAAAACATTTCTTATCACGATTATAGTGACCAAAATTATGACGGTTATCGGTATTATCACGGTATTGTTAAAATGTGCTGGAGATGTTAAAGTACCGACACAGAAATCACTTCAAGTTTTATATATAAAAAAAACACAAAAAAAAAACAACAACAAATAAAATGACTTTTCACTAAAACAATAACATTACCAATGATGTTCGGATTTTAAAATGACAACAGTTTAATAGCATGTTGAAATATCTAAAGTAAATGTTCAAATAAAGCTTTGAAAAAGCTTAATAAAAAGGTAAACCTCACATTTTCGCCTTTAAATAAAGAAAAGATATAGGTCAAAATGATAATTGATTAATAAATTACATGCATTTTATCTACTCCATAAATAATTCTAGATAATTTATCTGAATTGTTTAAATGTCCACATAAGCTTGTTTCTCATCAACCGGTCAAAATTTACTGCAGGGCATGCAAATTCTGTCTGGTTTTGGCCAAACAGAAACTGCACACAGGCTGAATGCAAATAAAAGTCTCTGTAAATCCACTTGTTGACAGCAGGTGGCGCTTATGGAAAAGCTGAATTAGAGCCGTTTCCCGTAACCTCCGTGGACAAAGCAGTATTGCGATTAAGAACACTTCTTTTAGGTATTACATGGAGCGAAGATGAAAAAATGCCATCGAATCGTTTCTGAAGACAGTTAGAACCTTCAGAGGTACATTCATAAAATTAATTCATATATTCATTTGTATAATTCCCTTAGCACTCTTTTAAAACCTCCCAGCTTTTCCGCCCTGTTTTAACTCAAAACGAAACTACTCTGCGTGCTGTGCGCACGTGAGACTGTTACTTAAAACTGTGCTTTATGCTGGACAGTATTTATTTATGGCGAGTTGCTCAAATCGCGGTAATCTAATACGGTTTTAATAATTAAAATTAACTGTAATACTAACCGCGGAGAATTTTATCATGATTTATCGTCAAACCGGTAATCGTTACATCCCTACCTCCCAGAGCTGCTTTCATGTACAACTGTTTGTGCAAGCTAGATTAAAGTGTATTATTACGTTTTGAATATGGATATTTTTATTTCAAAAACGCATCGATACACTACAGGATGCCTTTGTTCACCCCCCGGAGCTGTTTGAGAAACTTTTTTAATTTTTTTTAATGGATGGGCTCTTTTATTATTTCACTTCTTTTGGACTGAAGCACTGCAACACCCGCTGACTGCAATGATAGAGCTTGGAATAGCCAGGACAATTTTTAATATAACTCCGACTGGATTCGTCTGAAAGAAGAAAGTCATATACACCTAGGATGCCTCGGGGGCGAGTAAAACACAGCCCATTTATCATTTTTGGGTGAACTAACCCTTTAATGCATTCTTGTAGGCTATGCTAGAGATTATAGGGATGCACCTAAATGAAAATTCTTGGCCGAAGCCGAACAAAATGAAACACTGGGCCGAAGGCCGAATACCGAACACGGTTTTTCGCATTTTTCCCCACATGTAGGCCTATTTTGCAGGGTAAATTAAATAACCAAAATGTGCTCTTTACTGTTTTGTCCTGCTTTTCAAATAAAAAAATAAATAAATTACAAAATAATTTAAAAATATTTACTCGACACTGAACTTTTTTTTTTACTATATAGCAGACATTATAAAGTACCAACAAAGCACAATTTAACCTCAAATTAATAAATTTTTTGGCCATTTTTAAAAACTTGAACCAGGCATGTATTTTTTTTACTGTACAAATAAAGGCAGCCTTGCGGAGCAGAAGAGAATTATTTAAAAACATTAGAATATATTGCAGATCCCAATTGTGTGAATAAATATATTAATAGAGCTGTTGTAGGGATATTATTATTACGGTCTTACTTTATTTTACAGAACAGTAAAATGACAACACTAACATTTATGAATGTTGATGGAGATGTCTTTACTGTTTTGTCCTGCTTTTCAAATAAAAAAATAAATAAATTACAAAATAATTTAAAAATATTTACTCGACACTGAACTTTTTTTTTTACTATATAGCAGACATTATAAAGTACCAACAAAGCACAATTTAACCTCAAATTAATAAATTTTTTGGCCATTTTTAAAAACTTGAACCAGGCATGTATTTTTTTTACTGTACAAATAAAGGCAGCCTTGCGGAGCAGAAGAGAATTATTTAAAAACATTAGAATATATTGCAGATCCCAATTGTGTGAATAAATATATTAATAGAGCTGTTGTAGGGATATTATTATTACGGTCTTACTTTATTTTACAGAACAGTAAAATGACAAGGAGGAGATGTTGCTTTTTCTCGGCTCTTATTTTGGCAGAAACCCGCAGGAAGATCTCAGTGCTTCTTTTTGTTGACAACAGCATGTAGATTTATAAATGATTCTCATTACGAATTTGGGAAGATGCGTGTCTGTGTCGCACGTATCGCATTGTCACATGCCTTTGAAAAAAAATTCACAAAATTGTTACCGAGCAATTGACGAGTAACAAGTTTCAGCGCAGATTTTCCTCGCGCTTTGGACTTTGAACCTTGGCGCCGCGAGCGCGTGCAGCGCTGCCAGAATACATGCAATTTGTGCGTGCATTACAAAATATAACATTCTGCAGTTTATTTACCAATTGTTTGAAGCCATTTCACGATTTCAATCATCATACAGTAACCGAACCACCAGCATCAGCCACCTCTTCTCATCGGAGACATGTGATGCATGCAGCACTAAACAGTCTCTCGCTGTCGGTGCTTCGTGCTTGTAATGATTTCTGCGTCTTTCTCTGATAGTTTTAAATACTTTCACACTGTCGACATGTTTGCTGCATTAGTGCGTGCTAGGGTTGGGCGATGTCTACAGTGAAACATTGCGATGGACGATGACATCGGCGGGGGTGGGGGCAAGCGACACGACAAATCCCCGACAGTAAACTGCTGCCGCATTCCATTTATGACGTGCTGACACAAATTTCAAATGATTTTCAACGGTCGCTTTGTCACATCCAGTCAGTGTAGACAGACTTGTCAACAACTGTCCCGTCCGGTGTAGACACGGTACCAGGTGAGTTTTGTTTTCAGGGTTGGAGCTGAACTCTGCAGGACATCGGCTCTCTAGGACCGAACTTGCCTACCCCGGCATAACCGAAAGCAACTTAAGTATACACAAGTCCGAATCTCACGAGAATTTTTACACAACATGTAAATATTACAACCTAAAAAAAAAAACGTGCTGACACAAATTTCAAATGATTTTCAACGGTCGCTTTGTCACATCCAGTCAGTGTAGACAGACTTGTCAACAACTGTCCCGTCCAGTGTAGACACGGTACAATGGTTGCCTGTTACATTACAGTACATAAAATAAAATTTCACTTACCACATAAACAGAGTAAGGAGAGATGACTGAGGACGATGTCAAATGATTTGCAGATCCTCAGTACAACTGACAAATATATAATCTTGTAAAATGTGTGGCAAGTACTGCCGCTCCATAGAATAAACAGAGTACGTGCGATCGCGAATCTCAAAAGTGAAACTAAAGGTGATCGTGCATTCAAAAGCACGATGCCAGTTTCAATGCCAGGTATAATAGCGGTTTTTTATACGTTTTTATTCCCTTTAGGGGTTCTGCCTACCCGTCATTTTCTTTCCGAACACGGTACTGGGATGCAGGGCGAATTGGGGGGGGGGTCACGATGCCGGCTCAACATCGTGATGTCTATCAGCCATCGGCGATGGACAATAGCGTAGTCTATCGGCCCAACCCTAGTGCGTGCCTCTATTTGATCGCGTTAAGCCCCATTCACACCAAGAACAATAACTATAAAGATAACGATATTAGCGTCCACACCAGCGAACGATATCGTCTGTTTATTCTAAGCGCACATGCGGTGCCGCTTTAAATTCTTGAGCTCGTTACAGCAGGATGGATTCTGATTGGCTGTCAGTGTTTTATCGTTCATCAGCTGGAAAAAAATAGTTTTGAAAGTGATCACAACGATATCGTTCCTCTGTATCGTTATCGTTGTGGTGAGGACTCTGCTATTCTTTAATATTGAGAACGATTTTTAGAACTATAACTTTATCGTTATCTTTATAGTTATCATGCTTGGTGTGAACGGGGCTTTAATCATTGTTCTGTACATATTATTCGGCCTTTTCAATTATTTGGCCGAACACCGAAAGAGATTTTTTTTTGCCATTTTCAGCCGAATAATTTCAGTTGCCGAACATTCAGTGCATCCCTAACAGATTACATGCAAAACAAATTCCTCTCCTGTGGCCTCCTGGGATAGAAAAGTGTCCATCTGATGCACACTTCAGAATCTGGGCTGAAGCAGTAGGACATCCAGGGATCTCTCATCTACTCTTTTATGAATACTGAGGTTTTGAACATACTACTTTCTCCTACTATATTATTAGGCAAGTAGGCATAACCCAGGGGTAGGCAAGTTCGGTCCTAGAGAGCCGCAGTCCTGCAGAGTTCAGCTCCAACCCTAATCAAACACACCTGAACAAGCTAATCAATGTCTTCAGGATTACAAAGGCTACAGGCAGGTGAGTTTTGTTTTCAGGGTTGGAGCTGAACTCTGCAGGACATCGGCTCTCTAGGACCGAACTTGCCTACCCC